TAACAATTTGATGTGTTTTGCAATGCAGTTTGATGCACAAGCCTCAGCTTCTTTCGTATATCTATTTATCTAAAAAATAATATAAATATAGATATCATAAAACAAAATTATATTTAATTTAGATTGCAAAGTATATAATATAATAATTTAAAGAATAAAAAAAAATAATACTTTAAAAGTTTAAGAAAAAAATCAATAGAAGTTATTATTATAAGTTTATTTCATAAGCTATGATTATATTTATTACAAGTTAAAAACATTAAAAAAGTAGAGAAATTTTATTTTTTAAATTATGATATTATAAGTATTAAATATAAAGTAAAGTACATAAATGTATTTCAGTTTTATTCTACCAAAAATGTATTACATTTGTTACATACAAATTGAAAACTTAAAATATGGACCTTATACTTTTTTTAATTTATATAAATAGTAAATTTTTATAAGCAGTTTAAGCAGTTTAACTGTAGCTAGTATATTATTACCTATAAAGAGAATTGCAATTTACATCATTAAAACAATTTTAAAAACATGAATATCTTTTTACCTCATTTTCATTAGAATGATTAGTCAAGCTGGACATTCTATCACTAGCAGTATCACTGCAATCTTGTATACAACGTTGTATTCTTTTCTGGAAAAATAATAAATAACTGAAAACATTTAAATAAAAAAAAATTGTCATAAAAAAAACTTGTGTTTTAAAATATTCAATTACAATAAGAAGAATGTCTATAAAAGTAATAATTTTACTGCTACAATAATTAATAGTAATACTGTTTTGATTCCATTCAAATATATTATACTCTGTACTTATTGTAAGAATATGTTTTGAAATTAAAAAAAATTGTAAATCACAGAAAAATATTCATATGATAAATCTAATATGTCATATAATAAACATTATTATATACTATTATTAATTATATAATTTAATATTATAAAAATAATTATTTTAAATTTTTATTTATATATTAACATTTTTATAAATACCAAATTATAACAATAATAGATATAACAGAGGTATACAATATTTAAATTAAATAATATAGATACTTATATTTATTTATTTACCAATAATATAACAAGAAGTAAACAATAAAATGCTATTATCTAAAGATATATAGATGATTAAGCTACCAAACAACAAAAGGACATAAAGTATACAAAAAGTAGTAATTTAAAAATAACTTTTTTTTATATAAATATTTTAATGTTTATTTTAGAGTTTTAATATTGTACAAAAATTATAAAGATCTTAAAATAATGAAGTGTAAAGTCATTATTTTTTTTTAAATCAATAAATACAACTCATAGTAGTTCTAAGAAATTAAGTATTTTTGACTTTTTAATATACAAATAATTATTGAAAAAAAAGTCAATATTTTAAAACCGATATATATTTTTCATACAACTTAAAATCAGGTATATTTTGGCTAAACCAATTACATTAATCATTCATAATTTTAAATTAAATGTGTAAAATACCTGCCAATTGTTGAATTCATTTTGAACATAGTTGCGGGCAGACATGACTTCTTTTGAGCAATTTTCATTACATACTTCCAATGATTCAATGCTTTTTGAAGTGTCCTTACAACATTCAATTGCACACTCGTGCATCTGGATCTATAGGGATAAATTGTATAGATAATTATTTAGTTTATTGCTCAGTATAAATATTTATGGAGTTAAATTAGAGAATGTCAATAAAGTTTAAATAATATGTATAATAATATGTGATTTAATACATAGCTATATTTATAATTATATTTCTTTGTATTTTATTAAATTCAAACAAGGTCATTATTTTACAAATAAATTAAATTAAAAAATATATTATCTTAAATTAAATAATTAAACTGTTTTTACAATTTCTTATATATCAATTGAGTTTTATACACAAATTATAACATGAAACATTAATAAAAAAAAATTTCAAAATTAATGATTATGTTTTTTATCCTTAGAGTAGAGTTGTACTCATTATTAATTTAGATATAAAAAAAGAAACCAATATTTTACTTGTAATGTTCTTAAACATTTTCTATCAATATCATTCAAAACATCAAAAACTGCACTCTGCATACGCCTTTGTTCTTCTTCCATTATTATAGCAGAACTATAACACAACATTCAAAAACAATAACTGATGAAAATGATAATAAGACTTAATAATATATTAAAAGTATTTTTTTCTGAACTTTTTTATGTAGATTGTTACATTAAATGTATAAGCAAACTAACTACCTAAAAAGTTTAAGTAATACAAAACAAATAATACAAATAAACAAGTGGTTTTAATTATGAATTAATTAATGAAAGTTAAGTAAAATTATAGATAACGAAAACAATACGAAAAACGGAATTGCAGTACACAATATAGATATTTTATGTAACAAAAGACAATATTTACATCGAAAATCGTGTGTCGAACGACTTATATATAGAGTAGCGGTGAGTTGATATGAAATGTCACTCGAAAATCCTTAGATGTTTGTGCTGTTCGTCGGTTACAAGGGTTGAGCTAGTTTACTGTTCGCCATCGATAAGTATACCGGCAATGTGCTGTTCCGTCGACTATCACGACAAATTCCAGTGCTGCCAAGTATAATTTTCGATATAAAATAGTATACTAAAATATAACTTCTAGTTATTTAGTTACGCGCACGTATCTCTTTTTTTTTTAAATATGTAATAAATTATTTTAAAACATAGATATCTTGACAAATACTCCTCAGGTTTTTTTTTTTAATCTTATACCACAGAATTCTATTCTGTGACAGAACTTATAATGCAATCACATAAATTACACGATTACACTGTGATCACGTATTCACGTTATTATGACTAATAAGTATGTGTTCACGTATTCAGCATTTATTAGTTCACGTATATTAATCATACGTGCAGGGTCGGACTGGCCCACTGTGCCATAGTGTTACAGCATAGTAGGCCGCGGCCGTGAAAAAAATCTTCACTGAGATTACAGAATAGTGAACAGATTATCTGTTTACAGCACTTTGATAACCAATTATATTTTTTAAATGATCTCAAGGCACGATTACAGAAAATCCGGTATTCATGTCGTATGCGGTCTACCGCACATTTGTCCACTACCTCGCATGCGGTCTACCATATAGTTAAATAATTAGAATAATCCCTGTTGAACACCGAACATATCGTAATTAAAACGAGCCATAGTCGATTAGGGAACTGATTTTTGGCAATGTCGAGATAAATATAATGGGGTACGATAACGGAATCGGTATCTTGGCCGCCACCGCCGGCGGCCGACCGTTAGAGTACGATAACTGAAAAATACCCACATTAGGTTAATATAGGTCCATATTGATATATCGTTCCCCGCAATAGGTTTTTTTATTTTATCAATGTAGTTTTATTCCGGTACACCACGTAGTCCCGATTCCGTTCAACGTCATTTATGCAAAACTACAGTATATACACGTTACATGTGCACATAATAGTTAAATATAATACTGATAGAAACAATAACTCATCGACATATTAAAATTAATCATTATTTTTACTATTTTTTGAAAACGGAACATTTTAGAGTCCCGAAAATTTTGCCGGGGACAACGGGACGAAGATGCAAAAAATAGGACAGTCCCGTTCAAAAAAGTCACTTTATGTATGTGGTGTGTAATGTATAACATGGAATATTTATGGGGGGCTAAACCCCCCTAGTTGCGCCTATGATTGTGATACCCGTTTTTGGCTTTTGCTTATCAAAATATGTTGTCTGAGTTTTTCTAATGACGCGCACGAGAATAATGTAAATTGTACGTTTAATATTTGTTATAAACCTTTAAAAAAATATATTTTTAATTATTAATTCGAAATAAAATTAATTAATTCACTAAAAATAATATTATATTTTCATTAAATTCCACTAATTCTTTATGTATTATTTTAAAGAGTATAATTTACAGTAGAAAATAAATTTATTTTGTATAGTATCATGATACATGGATTATGGATAACATCACATAACTAATCATGATTGTTGAATATAAAGATTACAAGAAAATGCCCCCACTCCCGTCTAACCTCTTTAAATCCTACCAAATATCAATTTTGTGAGACAAACACATTTAAAAATTCCCGAAGTACCTAAATACATTGTGCCGCCTGTTTACCTATAATACCTAATAGGCCAGGCGCGGATCCAGGGGGGGGCCGCCCCCCCGTCAGCCGTATCAAAATGTGTTGTATCTAATTTGTTATACTATTAAATTACATTATTTTGTGTTATACCATTCTAATGTATTGTTAATTGTTATTGTCACAAATTTTCGTCTTTTATTTTTATAACATAAATATATGAAGTGTCGATAACAACAATATTATTGC